TTTTTTTGCAGTCCCAGCATGGGACTTGCTCTGTTTATTTATTTGTACAGTGGTGCCTCACACAACGATGTTAATTGGTTCCAAAAAAATCAACGTTGTGTGAAACATCGTTCTGTGAAACACCATTTCTCATAGGAATGCATTGAAAACCGGTTAATCCGTTCCAATTGGAACGGATTGCCATCGTTCAGTGAAAATCCCCATAGGAAACATTGTTGAGTGAAACAATGTTTCCTATATTGGTATGTATTGAAGCCGACTCAATACATTTCAATGCCTTTGCGAAGTCCTTTTTCGCTCCTGTAAAAGTGTCTTACAATGTTTGGACGCTGTTTTAAATGATTGCAATGGTTAGTCCACCTCCTGAAACCTATGCAAACTGATTTTGGTGTTGTTCTGACACTTCGTTAATTTATGATGATTTTTTGTTTTTTCCATTGGAAACCATTAGACAGACCATCCAATGGTTTCCTATGGAGAAAAAACAAAAAATCATAATAAATTAACGAAGTGTCAGAACAACACCAAAATCAGTTTGCATAGGTTTCAGGAGGTGGACTAACCATTGCAATCATTTAAAACAGCGTCCAAACATTGTAAGACACTTTTACAGGAGCGAAAAAGGACTTCGCAAAGGCATTGAAATGTATTGAGTCGGCTTCAATACATTCCAATATAGGAAACATTGTTTCACTCAACGGTTTCCTATGGGGATTTTCACTGAACGATGGCAATCCGTTCCAATTGGAACAGATTAACCGGTTTTCAATGCATTCCTATGTGAAATGGTGTTTCACAGAACGATGTTTCACACAACGTTGATTTTTTTGGAACCAATTAACATCATTGTGTGAGGCACCACTGTACTAACAGTAATCCAAATTTACAGAAAGAGACTGTCAAATCACAGCTGAAATATTGGTTGTGAAATACAAGGGTGGAGAACCTTAGGCCTTTCAAACGTTGCTGTTGTATAACTCCCATCAGCCCTGACTACATAGGCAGGAGGTAATTTGAAATAGAAATCAAATGCAATGTGGTGAGCCATATGTGTACAACGCCTGCAGAGAAAGGCCTACTTTTCTAAGAAGTCTTATCACAAGGAATCAGAGTAAGAAATAAAAGCAATTTTGAAATAAGGAGCAATTTGTGCTTCTATCTGCTGAATATAAATGGCTCCTTCCCCTACCTTTGCTATGAAGGATATCAGCGTGACATCTTCAGCTTCCCTCAGCTGGGTCACCACTTTACTAATCAGGGACTACTATCTTCCTCTTCACATATCTAATCTAAGCTCTATGCTTTCTTTATCTTATTTTATATGTCCCATCTAGAGATGGGGGTATTCATATATGAATATCCCCGCACAGGTGGAAATAATGAAGGCCGGACTGTCCACTCACAATTTCACCACTGCTGCCAGCTCTGCGGTGGCTTCCTATTGCGCTGTTCTCCGCAATGGATTAGCCACTCTCCAACCTAGCAGAGAGGATTGTCATCCCGCCTCCTGCCAGGACTGGGTAATCGATTGTGGACAATGGCGCGATAGGAAGGCACCGTGGAGCTGGCCCTATAGGGCCAGACCCTCGTTATTTCCACTTGTGTGTGGATATTTATATTTGTATACAAATGCCCTCATCTCTAGTCCCATCCTACACATTCACTCATGCTTATATTCTCCCCCACCCACTGACCTGTGTTGGCAAAAGCAGCCAATGACAACAAATGCAGTAAGACCTAAGAGAAATGGCTTTATGTGGGGCTGCCTTTGGAAAGTGCCTTTGGAGACTTCAGCAGATCTAAACTGCTGCAGCCAGATGCTTAACTGGTGCTATTTACAGAAAACCAGTGTAAGGTAGCTAAGGTGGGGGAGATATGTTGGTATTTTCTAACCCCATTCAGTAACCTAGCCACTGTGTTCTGGACCTGCTGCAGTCTCCGTAGCAGTCCCAGTATGTGGGGCTGCCTTTGGAAAGTGCCTTTGGAGACTTCAGCAGATCTAAACTGCTGCAGCCAGATGCTTAACTGGTGCTATTTACAGAAAACCAGTGTAAGGTAGCTAAGGTGGGGGAGATATGTTGGTATTTTCTAACCCCATTCAGTAACCTAGCCACTGTGTTCTGGACCTGCTGCAGTCTCCGTAGCAGTCCCAGGGGCAGCCCCACGTAGAGAGCATTGCAGTAGTCTAATCTCAAGACTACCAATGCATGGACCAGCATGGTGAGAGACCCAGTGTCCCAAGGGAGGGATGCAGTTGGTCAATCTGCTTTAGGTGGAAGTAGGTGGATCGGACCACAGACGCTACCTGGGATTTCATTGATAGCACTGGATCCAAAAGTATGCTCAGGTTGCGCACCTCATCCTTCATGGAAAGAACAGCATCCCTGAAGGAAAAGGAGGCACCCAGACCACAAACACTAGGGGCCCCCGTCTTGTCCGGCTTCAGCCTCAGTCTGTTTTCCCTCATCCATCTCAGGCAGTGCTCAGGGGATGAGACAGCATCCACTGCAGAAGTGTGGAAGGACAGAGAGAGAGCTGAGTGTCATCCACATATTGGTGACACAAAGCTCCAAAATTCCTGATGACTTCTCCCAGCAGCCTTATAGAGATATTAAACAGCACTGTGGAGATGACTGACCCCCGCACGACTCCACAATTGAGAGTCCACGGTGCGGGCAGCATGTTCCCAAGCTGTACTCTCTGAGGAAGGTCCTCCAGGAAGGACTGGAGCCAGGCCAAGGACTGACCACTGATCCCCAGACCCGGGAGCCTCCCCAGGAGGATACTGTGGTCGACGGTATCAAAGGCCGCCTGTAGGTCAAGGAGGACTAACACGGATGTTTTGCCCTTGTCGGCCTCCCTCAGAAGGTCATCTTGCAGGGCGACCCATGCCTTCTCCGTGCCATGAGGAGGCCTGAACCCAGATTGGAACGGATCAAGGGCACTGGTTTCCTCAAGGAAAGCCTGAAGCTGATCAGTCACCACTCTCTCCACTAGCTTGCCAATGAAAGGGATGATGCGGTTTCCTCAAGGAAAGCCTGAAGCTGATCAGTCACCACTCTCTCCACTAGCTTGCCAATGAAGGGGATGATGTCAACTGGGTGGTAGTTGTTAATATCATCAGCTGCAAGGCTGGGTTTTTTCCGAATCTCCTTAATGAGTGTCTCCTTGAGGGCAAGAGGAACTTTGCCATCAAGGAGAGATGCATTAATAATGGCCTCTGCCCACTCATTTAAGAGCCAGGCCAGGCAAGAGTCTAGTGAGGAGGAGGTGGCTCTAAAGCGATCAAGCACCCTGTCAACTTCAGCTGACGTCATGGGCTGAAATTGTGTTAAACCTGTGCCTAGAATTCTAATTAATCTAATCTGCTGAAAAGGTCAATTCATCCAGCATAGTTTTCTCTACCTAGCACATTGGCAAAATCATCACAAAACACTTTGGCAATCCACCAGGGGTATTATAAAATGTGAAAGGACTTACCCAAGTTTCAGCATATTGATCATATCAAAATTCACCACATCAAAAACCTTCATTGCTTTGTCATCCCCAACAGAGCAGAACAATGCCCCTTCTGAACTTGCTGCAATGCTCTCAATAACACCTATTGTGATCAAACCAAACCAAAGGATATACTCTACTTCCAGAAAACAGATGCTATTGGTTTAAGAAAACGTATGAATACAAACACTTGAAATACGTCAACATCACACACCAAAACTGCAGGTAAAGATATTGAAGTCTGCAAGCCTACAGACACTTATGTGGGAGTAAGCTTCACTGAACTCACTGGGTTTTGAGTAGAAAAATATAGGAGTGTGCCGAGGAATGAAAAGGTCACAAAACACAGGGCTGACGGGTACTGCTTTTTTTGAAGTCACTTTAATTCTCTTCAAGGCTTCTAGTACAGTTTCCTAAAGCCCATTTCTCAAGGATGTTGCAAACAAGAAACTTCAGAAATCTAGTACACATTGCAGAAGCTCCCTATGCAGTTGGTTGCACTTTTCTCTAAGACTGCTATTTCAGTTGCTTTGTCCCCTTTTATCCTGATTATTATTAATAAACACTCCAATAAAAATCCAGACTTTTATGAAGGATCAAATTAATTAAGTGTAGAGTTAAGTAATGGTGGAGATTTTTTAAAAATGGTACATATTACATTTCACTTCCAATGAGAAAGCTATAAATTTTACTTTCATGGCTGTTAGATGTTGCTGACATTAACAAACAGAAAAGTCAAATATCAAAATATCTAGTTGCACATGACAAAGTTTACTTTATGATGGCCAGAATCATATTGCTTATTTAGAATCTGCATATGTCTTGGCATCAAATTGTTGCTTATTAACACAACCAGCGCTTCATTAAATGAGTGGCAATTTGCCACCAAAATTTGCAGAAGCATCCATTTCCAATAGGATTCTGGCTGTTTTTAAGTCTTTATAGTTTAGTCATCTGAAAAACCCCACAGGAGATGCTGAAAAACACATTTCAATTTTTCAGAATGAATATTGCAATCACTTACCTAAATGGCTACGGAAGTGTTTAACAAATTCAATCCCTTCTTCCACTTTTTTCCAAAATTTGACGTGTCCATCATGGCTGGCTGTTATTACAAAATCTGTCCTGCTGCAAGTGCACAAGAAATAACATGGGCCCTGATCTTAAGACACCAGTGTTTTCAAAGGTGCTATGATGCACTACTTTAGTTGTGCCATACTAATCTAATTCAACATACGTTCTGTACGTCATTCAAGACATGAAAATGAACACTTAAGAAGCATGCTGAGTTTCCTAAGAAAGTGTATATGAACAGAGCAAGACAAGCAGAAAAAGAGTGGAAGTAGTGGCTCTCATGAGGGCAATAAAGTCTATTATCTGAAGTGGAAAGCTGCTATTTCTGATGCAACTGAATTCATATTCCATGATGCAAAGCCCTCTTGGTACAATGTATGCAGGGATGCAACCAGGCATAGATATAAGAAGATCTACATGTTTCTCAACAAGCCATCTCTTTTCAATACTAACTCTAATATTTGTGGTTTATCTGAAGAACCCACACATTTTTGTTGGCCTTGGTAGTTCAGCAATATTTGTGGTCATCATCATTATGTCTATTCCCAAATAAGAAGGGAGGGTGTAAGACTGTGATGCTTCTAGAGCTCATTGCCTTCTCATTTGTTTTCAAGACCCTGCAAATGTCTCCAAAGTGTAGCTTGTGGGTCATATGTGGTCTTGGCAGGGATAGTTCTACAGCAGTGAACTTCCCAGAACCCCTCAGTTATAAAAAGCCTTAAAAAAAAATATGGGCTGTTTTGGCCAAAAACCTGCCTTGATCTCCCAAAAATTCCTCCTTCATAAAATAAACAATCAAACAATCAAACACCCAACTGGAAGAATCTATCTGGGCCCTTCCTGTTTCATATTTTCTTTTAAATAACTGCTGGGTTTGGCAATCCCATGCCTAGTACCTACGGAGGAGGGCGGGCTATGGGGCTCGAACTTGGACACAAAGCCATCAGAGATTGCACACCCTGGCATTATAGTCACTATTTCCATCTCTTCTACTGAGACTTAAGTTCTGGCATGGGGTGGAATGATCCCCACAACTAATCAATACTTCTAAGGTTCTCCAAGCAACCTCAAAAGTACTGTATATCGTGTTTCAGATAAGTCACAGCACATTTCAGATAAGTTCCTCCTGAACCTGGAGCTAGAAAGTGGGATGGAGAAATCCACCTTGCAGTTGTGTTGTACTTACTGCACATGTTCTACAAAGGGAATAATATTATGAAATACATACCAATCCAGCGTTAAAGTGGTAACAATAAATAATTAAATACAAACTTACTTTGTACATACAACGTGTGTGATGACATCTCTGTGCATATAACTACGTTCATACATGGAAGCACTGGGAAGATTATCCAGGTAGACATGTTCAAACTCAAGAACTATAAATAAATTACAAAAATTATAGTGTTTAATAAAAAATAATATTCCCTTAGAAAATTATACAAGGGACTACATTCTTGAGATTTTAGCAGAATCAGTACAAATAACACTTACATGCCTCAATACTGTGATAGATAACATATTTAACAAATTTTCACCCTTCAGATCCAGTATGGGCCACATGACCCACTCCTGCCAAAATCAGGCACCCACTTCCAACATTAAAAACAACAACTACTAGTCTTGCAAACTGAAGAAGGTGTACATGGCTGTCCAACTTGATTTAAAGAGAATAATCTTGCAACCTATTGTGATGAGATGGGTTTTTGAGTTAAAGTCTTGTAAGGAATATGGGGTTTGTAACTGAGAAATGAGCAAGAGAGGTTCCATCTTGTTTCTTTGTATAAAGTATCTTTGCTATGCTGACAAGTTGTTTTCTAGGCGAGCAGAGAGAATGTTATTCTGATAGCCTGAGAAAAGGACTCGGTGTGATTAGATGGGAATTGTTGTGACTCTTTGCGAAACCACAGTAAACCCAAATAACATCTGGTGTGTATGGGAAAGAAGTCATGTGGTGTAACAGGACTGTTTGCCTAGTAACGAACTCTGATTGGATGACATCGTGGGAAGGTGCGATAAGGTCTTGCCAGCTACTCTTGAAAAAGGAACTTTTTGCCTATGGACATTGTCATTCAAGACCGACTCTTCATTCATTCGTGACACATGGGACTAACCTTTACTATACTGGATTACCCTTGGACTTATGGGCTTTTTCCTAAGGACTATGCATGTACTATTTCCTATGGACTGTTACCTATGGAATATCCTTTATGAACGTCTTTTCTTGAAATGCTTCATATGGACTATACTCTTGGACTTTTCTAAGGACAATGGGACTCTTACTGAATTTTTCTTTTTAGTACAGGATTCTTGTTCTACAGCATCACTGAGGACTATAGCCTTTTTATAACCTACTTGGATTATTTTGTTTTTACTAATGAATTACTGGACTGGAACTGTTTTTATTCTTTTTAATGGCTTTTTGTATTTTTGTAAGGTTTTTGAACACTTTTCTATTTTTCATGTTTTCTTTGCCTCACTACATCTTTGTAACTAACCAGCACAATGCTAGTTTATTTGCTTTGGTTTAATTTGGCTTTGATACTTAGAAACATGCTTATTCTTTAATAAAATAAAGATTATAAAACTCAATTGGTTTTCTGAACAGTACACTTGTCATAGGGTCATCTGAGAGTACTGCCTCGGCCTAGCATACTTTAGGAGTCCTGTCAGTGGTGCAAGTTAAGTCTAAGGACTACAAAGCCCACTTGACCTTTTCATAGTAATATCTGAGAGTACAAGGGTGTTTTTATGTGGGCAGACTTGTAAGAGGGAGTGGTGTAGCATGGCTAGCTGAGCTTGGACTCACTTAGCCCATTTTAGCATGTGCAAACTCCTGATTGCTCTCTGTCCAGGCTTACACGTGTGTTTTTGAACCCGTGTTTGCTGACACCTATTATACAATGTTTCCTGTTCTAACAAAATACAATAAAATGAACTGATGAGATATCTTTAGAGGCTGCAAAATCATGTGGGGTATATGCAGTGCACAACTGTTACCCATCCTAATGCAGATGAATCACAACCAATAGGTTCAACCACAACCATGGACAGATGAACCACAACCAACAGGTATTACTGGCAACTCTGTTAGGCTGCCACGACATTTTGGCTACATTTGCTGACATAATTATTTATTTATTTAATTGATTATATACCACCCTATTAATGCAGTGCATTATTTTGGATGGTTAACAATCAATAAAATCAAACAATCAAAAGCAAAAGCAGTTAAAATTATTCAGTTATCAATGCAGTGAGTAATCTGCTTTACTGTCCAGTATTTTCTCTGCATCCCACCACTGCATGTGCCATAGCTGCAAATTTTGGCACTGTAGTGGGGATTCATGTTTAGTCTTGTCCCATTTGTACAGTGATGCCATTTCTGGAAAGGAAACCTTGACTGAAGGCATTAAGCTCCACAAGCAAGATGTCTCTTAGAGTGGCTCCAGCATCCAGTCACAGTGATACAGGCCAGAGCATCTACAGTACTATGAAACGCTTTGATACCACTGTCATAGGCCTTCCATACCATGGTGTAAATCAACTGCTAATCCCCATATACACTAGATCTGCAGAATCAGGTGCTCAATGAGAGCTCCCACTAATCCAAAGGTTGTGGTGATATAATCAGCAGCAGATTGTTACTGGTTAAAGGTCATTTCAGGGTATACATGACTTGTACACAGTATGACAAACTCACATGCACCCCAAAGTCACCAAAGGAAGACTTTAATCACTACAGCAAGATTACAGTGAATAAATCTATTCTAGTTGGGAGTGCCAACTGGATTTAGGCCCAATTTAACTTATGAATTTAACACCAATTTAATCATTTGGCAGGGAATTCACTTAAATGACACACAATTGAAGAAAATGAGCAAATGAGTTAAACTGCAGGAAGCATAATTAAATAAATTAAATAAATGTGCATGGATATATGGAACAAAATGTGTGAGCTTGGACTCAATGGAAGTGAAACGTTTATCATGGGTTCATATATATATATATATATGCCATTAAATTAGTTGGAGTATCTGGCTGCCCAACCACAGATAGGGAATGCTATTCCCCCTGCAACTCAAAAGAAAAGCCAGCCTGTTCAGCCTTGGGCAAGCTGCATGGTCCTAGTACATGACTAGGGAAGAAGGTAGCAGTGGTGGTGGTGATGTCCATCAAGTTGTCTCTGATCCACAGCCACCCTATGAATGAATGACCTCCAAAACATCCTATCACTAATAGCCCCATCCAGTTCTTACAAAGTTCCTTCTGGTAAGCCTGTTTAAGGCATTGTCAGTGAACCTTTTTTTTAAAAAAAGTAGGTGGGGCCAAACATTCTCTTTCAAGATAAAAGCAAGACTGGTCTTTTCAAGTTATATAAAGTACTTTTAATCTGTTGGCATTTAGGGTAGCCTATTTCTGAATTGGGGGAAAACATATTTAAAAATCGTAACTTGAAAGCCCTTTGCCTAAAATCCCCCAAATTTAGCACAGAGCAAGATCAGACCATGGTGCTGATCTGAAGCCCATTTAAAAAGTTCTATTTTTTTTGTCTGGGATCCCCGTATTTTTAGAATTGCTTTGTAAGGTGCTGATCTGAAGCCCATTTTAAAAGTTTTATTTTTGTTTGGGATCCCCCTATTTTTAGAACTGCTTTGTAGAATGTTGGTTTGCTCTGCCAGTAGAGGATCACTTCCACATTCTCATGCAGCAACAATTTTGCTCCTTTCATTTAATTACTAGCCTGACTCAAAATGGCATCTGCTCAGAAATACATCCTACTTTTTTGAGGGGAACTTTCCTGAAGGTAAAAATGTCCAAACAGAACGTCCAAACCTGGTTCAGCTTATCATCATCATTATATGCCCTCCAAAGAAAAGCGAGGAAAGTCAACAACATCCATGAAACAAGGAACCCTGGGAGAAGCCATCAAAACCAGGAACTCACACAAGAGTCACCCACACATGTATCCATAGCAGCCACTAAACAACAGGGCTGGCAAGAACAGAATTTAACTTATAAGCACCATCGGACTACATCCTTGCAGCACGACGAGCATTTTCTTGGGAGTAAACTCCACGGAACCCAGTGGGTTCCCAAGGAAACTTCCACCTGACCACAGTGATTCCTTACTGCTCCTCCTTTACCTTTTCGCTTTTTCACCTGCACAGCCTCCCCAGGCAAAGGCCCCACCCAACGCTCCTGCTCGTCTTCTCCCTCCTTCTCCCCTTCTTCCACAGCCCCGGCATCTCCTTGCCCCTCTTCGCCTTCATCTTCTTCTCGGTGCCGTCTCTTCCGCGGCGAGTCCAAAGCCGCCATATTGCCATTACGTCAAATCACAGCGACGCCGAGTCTCCCGCGGCGCAAGCTTACTGAAGCACAGATAGGCGCTCTCTCTCCCCCAATCCTCCTTCCCGGAGCTCCCACCGTCAACCAATCAGAGCTCCGCCCGCGCAGGTTTGAAGACGAGAGGGAAGCGACGCCGTTCACTCCTCACCGAGCGGCGGAAGAGATAAAAGGAAGGATCCGGGAAGGGCGCCATGGTAACGTCGGGCGGTCGAGAGTGGGAGGAGGAGGAGGAGGAGGCCGTCGTTGGTTCCTCCGGTCGGTTGGGCTTCAGAGGACACCCGTGAGAGCAGGGACTGAGGGGCCTTTGCCTCCCCCAGGTTTTGGCCTACAAGCCCCGCTATTCCCGACCACTGGTCACCGTGACTAAAATCTCCGGGAGCTGAAGTCCAAAATGTCTGGCGAGGCAACGGCTCCCAGCCTTCTGGCGTCGACGTGTAGCAGGAAGCGAGCACTCAATGCGTGTGCCTGGACCTGCCGGTGTTTTTTGGTCTTGCAAACGTCTAGGATTGCGGGCCTTGGACTCCGATCCAGTCCTATGCCTTGCCCAGCGACTTCTGGTCGGCCAGTGTGTGTGAGAGAGAAAAGGAAGCCGAACTAGATGGGGTTTTTGGTCTGATCCAGGAGGGCTCCGTTTATTTTTCTTGAATGGAGATGCTAGCAACTCTTTTGACTGAGGGTGCTTAAGTTGTGTGTGTTCTGTGCTTGTCACACCATTTTTAGCTTTAATTCAATGCTATGAAGTAATAGTATCCAAAAACTTATTAGCAGCCCTTCTTTCTTTACTGAATTAATCGAACTCAGGTCTTTCTCTTGCCCTACCATCCTCAACTTTTTCTAGCATTGCTGTCTTTTCTGGTGAGTGTTGTGTTCTTATAATATATCTAAAATAGGGTAGCCTCTGTTTAGTCATTTTAGCTCCTAGGGAGAATTCAGGCTTCAAGTTCTCTGTTGTTTAGTCGTGTCCGACTGTTCATGACCCCATGGACCAGAGCATGCCAGGCCCTCCTGTCTTCCACTGCCTTCCGGAGTTGGGTCAAATTCATGTTGGTCGCTTCGATGACACTGTCCAACCAGCTCGTCCTCCGTCCCCTCCTCCTCTTGCCTTCACATTTTACCAACATCAGGGGCTTTGCCAGGGAGTCTTCTCTTCTCATGAGATGGCCAAAGTATTGGAGCCTCAGCTTCAGGATCTGTCCTTCCAGTGAGCACTCAGGATTGCTTTCCTTCAAAATGGATAGGTTAGTTCTCCTTGCAGTCCAGGAGACCCTCAAGAGCCTCCTCCAGCACCACAATTCAAAAGCATCAGTTCTTCAGCGGTCAGCTTTCTTTATGGTCCAGCTCTCGCTTCCATACATCACTACAGGAAGAACCATAGCATTGATTATGCTGACCTTTTGTCAGCAAGGTGATGTCTCTGCTTTTTAAGAAGCTGTCTAGGTTTATCATCGCTTTCCTCAAGTTCTCTACAACCCACTTATTTGCCTTGTTAGCAATTATGTACCGTAAAACTCTATAATAATCATACTTTAAATGAATTGATTGCCCCTCTATTAGTTACTCTCATTGTCCAAGTTTCACATCTATGCATAGATATTGAGAATCTAATAGTTTGAATGACCTTAATTTTTATCTTCAAAGACATATCCTTTCACTTTAGAATCTTCACATCTGCCCTTCCCAGTCTCAAGCTTTTTGTTTTCTTGGTCACATGCCCCATTAGAGAAATCTTTGACAATTTCAGTTTCTTAGTTATCAATATTTAAGTCACGTAATTGTTTTATAATCATTATTTCGTCTTTATTCAATTACAATTTATTTTTTCAGTTCATTGTCGCTGAATGTATAGACACCGTATGCACATACAACACGTGCTCAGTTATAATCCTGCCTTTGCATTTTCTCATTTAATTTTCTCTAATCTGCATATTTTCAATTACTGGTATTCTTTCAGTTTTCATTCCTAATCTGACTCTAATTCAGCTTTTGTGTGATGTTTTGCTGATTATATTGAGTGAAAAGAGATAAAATGCATACTTGTCCAATACCTTTGCCAATCAAGAACCATTCTGTTTTTCCATGTTACAGTATCTCCTAACTGTATTCTCTTGTTCAGAATGCAGATCAAGCATCAGGACAATTGGTTATTGTAATACACCCATTTCTTTTAAAATGCTTTCTTGTTTTTCATGAGCCATATATTCAAAGACAATCCATGAAACTTTTTCTGAAATTCTGTAGTAGCCACTGTATATTTGCAGTACAATCTAATGTTTCCTTTTCTTACTCCAGCTTGAATATCTGGCATTTCTTGTTCCATAGATAGTGAAAATTTTTGTATAATCAAAACATTATTTTATTTGAATGGGAAGTCAATGAAATGGTCTGATCATTGCGGCAATCTATGGTCTCCGGGTTTGGGAAATGTGTTGAAGATTTCCAATCTGTGGGCCCCATAAGGAAGATAGGCTAATGTTATAGGCTACACATTATCTCCTTATTGGCAAAACCTACATTGTTATGGAATTAGTTTTAGTTGTTTTTCACATCTTTATTTGGCATGGGCTACTTTGGTGTGTTTGGTGGCTAATTTTCTGCCCCCAGGATCCTCCAGATGCTGCTTGTCAAGAGGTGGGGGTGGAGTTTTCAAGTTTCAGTTTTCAAAAACTAGTGCTTTTTTAATGTTTAGGTATCACATAAGGGTCCTGCAATACATTTAAAATCTGAATTGGTATTTCTGGAGGATTCACTGAGTTTATTATTTTTGAGGTACATTAAGAAGTCTTTGAGGGTATACACAATTCCAGGTCTGCACTTTGCCTACCTCTGTTTTAGATAGTTATTTTCAACTCTGCTTTATCAGTTTTTGCCAATCTTTTCTTTATGTAAACATTTCTCAGATTGAATCACCTTTTTGGTCTGTGATGAGGAAATTTTGCATAATGTACAAACTGTATGTCTGACATTGTTTACTAGCTCTCAAAACCATGATCATCCCAAAATAACTTCCATTATAATGCAGTGTAACAATAGAAAGCATGACAATTTTAAAAATCACAAATTATAAAACCACCTTAAATTTAAATAATTTTAAAGATTCATGTTGAAACATATTGGATATAATATATAACAATAAAATCTGGACTTTTAGAGACATAGAGAGATTTCATACATTTTGTTAAAATTATACTGTACCTTAAGTCTTTCTTGACTTTGATAAACAGCAACCCTTTTGGGTTATGACGTTATGGTTGTTCTAATCTGTCTTACAGGTCAAAACTGTCAAATATGATTGATTTATCAAGTACTATAGAAATATGTCATATTGCTGTTTTCACTTCATCTCCTAAATAAATCATATTCCTATATGAAATGTTTCTAGCTGTTAATATGCAGAGTCAAGATTCACTTGGTAGTTGCACTGCCCATCTACTTGCTGCAAAGTCTCCACCTTACTTCAAAATCCTGTGGAACAGTGATAATTGGAAACGGTTAAGATTCTGTTCCAAATATTATTGGTCTTTTGCCATAAAGTTAGTGTCTACTGTTATTCCTAAGTACCTAGTCTTATTGAGATCAGTGGATCTTTGCTGTGTGGGCAAGTGTTTCTCAGGTGATTTGGCAACTTTTATGAATCTGTCCTTTGCCTCTGTATTCCTCAGTTGATAGTTGGCAATTTTTTGGCTACAACCTTTTGCTACTACTCTTATAAGCCATTAAACAATGTTTGAAACCCTATTGCTTAGTGTAGTAAGTCATACTAGATAAGGCATATTGAATAATGGGGGTCTTGGTGAGCTAACTCCTCTGGAAGTCCCATTGATTCAAGTAGGCTTACATGTAGCATTAGCTACAACCCATTAGGTGTTTCCAATTTAGAATGTGACTGATACTTGTTTTGGTGTTTCATCTTTAAGTGTTGACATATAACTGATGTTTGCCTATTTGTTTCAAATGGTTATACCTGCTTTTAAAGCATGTTTTATATTTGCTTTACAAAACTTAAAACAAGTATACACAAAAATAAATAGAAATAATATTATTCTAGGCTGAGAGGTTTGAGAAGAATTTCTCTCTATATAATCAAGATGTGTCTTCAGTAATCGCCAGCACATTGCTAAGTTCAGAAGATGCCAAAGAACAACTATTAGAAGAGTGTGAAGAATTATGGAAACAAATGGAAGAGGTAATAAACAGGATATCAGAAATGAATACTGATGCTGCTACTAGCAAATAGCCTCACAGAGTTTAAAAGCATTACACTACTCTGTATATTGATGTGCTTACTGGAGCTGCACAAATGTCTCTTTGATGCTTTTCATTTTTCTGTTATGCTTCTACATGTGCCTAAGCCTGATGAAGAATCAAAACACAATCTCTTGAGAAAATACAAAGTAAAGAATACAATTCATTTTTGAAACAGCACATGATAGAGCTGATTTTCACTTCAACTTTTTATAAATGTGATGAAATTGAGTGGTTAAATACCAAGCCAAGATAGTAGTTTTGTACCACATAATACTCATGATGTTGACAATACATAGTAGCATGTTTTTGTTAATGAAAAGCTTGTTAGAAAAAATGACAAGAAGCAAAGGGTGCAATGACGGATTTAAAAACAATACACCTGAAGTCATAAAACACTATGATGTTGTAGACATTATCAAATACAGGGGAACTGTTAAGAATAATCCATTGTACTTCTAAGAGCTATAGTCCTGACAAATTTAAGTGCTTATAGCCTATCTTTATTTCAGGGGGAGAGAATTCAGCCTATGCTTTAATTCTCCAGATGAAATTGAAGGTATCTCAGCAAATTTAACTATAGGTTGTACCTTTAGTGCTTGAGATCTAATGCTTTTAATTATGGAGGAAAATATGTGATTACTTAATTGATTTTAAGAAGGAATGCTACTAATTTATCCCCCCCCCTCTTTTTTTAACCAAGTGTCAGAATAAATTAATATTTCAAGAAACAGAAACTCTTCCAGGCGCAGATCCCAAGGTAAGGCTGAAATTAAAGAACCACAAAAGAATTATTTTCTGTGCATACAATAGCAGGTAGAAGAGTTTTTCAAGTTTACTTGCTTGTGTTTATATATTTATCAAATTTGCCATAAAGGTGTCAAAAGTGCATAAAATAGCCTCCCTTGACGTTTATATATTTATCAAATTTGCCATAAAGGTGTTGAAGTGCATAAAATCGCCTCCCTTGGCTGTGGTAGGTGGGAATTATAGGAGTTATAGTCTAAAAGATATGGAAAGCCCCAGATTGGGGAAGGTAGGTTTGATGCTTAAATGCAAAACAAGCAAACAAAACTGTCTAGTGGTTTGAATCCCAACATTATCCAAGGAACACAGCCAGTTAGGAAGGGACTCTACCATAACACATCCTCTAATGCTGTTCGGTGACAGGGATTAGAATTTGGTCCAAGATTATTGTTTTATTAAAGGAGGACAGGAGGAGTTCGTTAAACATGCTAGTTCTATGTGTCAAACAGTTAATTTTTAAAAATCAGTGTAACAAAGCATATTTTAAGATAAATTTCTATTGTTTAACAGTTTTCCCTGTTAATGAAACGACTAAAGTCTCTAACAGCGGAGTTTAATCAATGGCAGAAGAGACAACCAGAAAGTAAGTTTTTCCTCTGAAATTCTTTATAGAAATTTAAATCTAAGCTTTAGAAAGCTTAAATGCTCAAAATTCAACATTCTGTAGAACATTCATTTACTGTATTAAAAAGGTGTCATGTTTCTTGACATTTATCTTTGACACATGTTAGGCCTTCCCTCTGTCTGTCGGGCAACTTCATGGCATTATTCTTAATTTTTCATATTTCCCATTGAAATTTTTTCTAGCAAATGGCCTATGTTTGTTCTTTTTTAATGTCAAGGTTCTTCAATTACCTTTGGTACAAGTCAGTTAGAAATGAGAGGTCTGTTGTAAATAGAAAATACAATATTTTTTTTCTGTTCTTGTGTTCAGTCTGGTCCATGGTTGGAAAAGCTTCTTTTTGGACAGTGCCTCCAAGTATCCCTCAGCCAGTCACCTATTAATCATATTGACGGGGATTCTGGGGGTTGTAGTACAAAACAATAACTTTTTCAAGCTGTGGCTGCCATATTACATTAGGTCAGAGAATATGTGGAATAACAATCTTGTGCTTAGATTTTACATGGTTTTGTATCATCTGAATAGTTAACTAATATCACTTTAATTGTGTTACGATCTATTGTGAAGTGTTTGTTGCATAGGAAATGTAGCATTGGTCATCTGAAATAATCCCATAATGTATTTCTTTATACCCAAGCTGTGCTATCCTATACAGCAATAGCCTTCAGGTGTTTGGTAAATTAATTAAGACGTACTCCTCATTTCCTCTCCAGTATCATAACTCTCATACTTTTTAGTCCATGGCAAGTATACAGTCCCATTACCCATGAAGATCCAGTTCCTAATGTCTGCCCAGTGATATGTTTTCTGCAGATGTTGTTTTTGCAAGATTTTCTGTTAGCCTCAACCAATTGACATCTGACTTTGCATCTTAGTTTGACTTACATTTAGTACATCCAAATTGTCGTCTTATCTATTCCAGTCAAAATAACCTGTTATGTCAAGGGTCTCTCTATCAGTAGTAATAGATCATTGTATACAATTAGTTCTTTTTCAATAAAGCACAATTTGATCAGCAATGACTTTACAAGCAATTTTGCCTTGTAAAAGCTCCTTAGCATGTGTGGAACATTCTGTTTGCCTCTAGTTATGCAAAGAAGAATGGTATTTCTTTGATTTTCAAGCTTTGTATTGTATTATTTATTTAGAAAAGTGCCAGTGAGAAAGCTAAAATAGAACTGAAAATGATAGTCTGTATCTCTATGGGCACATAATCTGTCCATAGTCTTTGGAGTTTCTTTACAGAAAGAAGTTCCCTGTACACAGTGGTGCCTTGAGTTGCAAACTTAATCCATTCTGGAATGATGGTTGTTAACTCAAGTTGGTTGTAACTCAAAGCACCATTTCCCATAGGAATACACTGAAATGAGATTAATCTGTTCCAGCTGAGAAAAAACCCATTCCAGCAGGGACTAAAAAACACACTGCAAGACTCATCATAACCCCTCCACCCAGCCCAAACCATAGGAGCCACATAATCAGACAAACCCATTCCAGCAGAGACTAAAAAGCACACTGTAAGACCCATTACAGCAAGGGTCCTCAACCTTTTTCACCCCGTGGATCGGCTGGAGAGGGCGAGGCACCCCCTGCGCTCATGCATATGTGCAAATCAGCACTCTCACGTGCGCATGCACAAATGGTGGCACTTGTGTGGGTGCGGTGGAGAGCGCACACATACACAAATTAGCTGTGCGGGGGTGAGTTCGTGTGTGGGGGGGGTGAGAGGTCTGTCTCCACGGCCCGGTTCGGCTCAGGCCATGGACCGGGGGTTGGGGCCTCTGCAATACAGCACAGAAACATAACCCCCACCCACCCAGCCGAAACCCACACTGCAAAACCCTGTACAGTACTCGCCCAGAACGGGCAGTTTTTTAAATTTTAAAAAGCAAAAATCAGTACCAGACAGTCCATTCTCTGCAAATGCACACTCTCTAACCACTGGAGCGAAAGAGCTACAGAGAAGCAGCGTTTTCGCTGACCTATGGTTAGCAGTTCAAATTTCCCTGCCTTTTTTGGTCATATCTCAAAGCACCGGTCACAAGTCAAAACAAAATGTTGTGACCAGAGCTGGTGGTAACTCGCATTGGTCGCAAGTCAAGACGGTCAGAAGTCGAGGCACCACTGTATTTGTCTCATATTTTTGATGGGTTCTTAGGCATCCTTCAGTCTTGAAAGACCATGGTAACGCGCTCTGTATGAGTGTCCTCTCCAGAGCATGAAGCCTGGATAGAATAATATGGAGGATAGGCTGTTACCCAAGCAGCAAATCCCCCCTCTCCACGTCGCTGAAATAGTCCAATGGAAAGGCAAGAGCCAATACAACTGGTTCCAGCAACGTCGCAGGAGTTGCCAGAATGACACGAACTGCCTCCGGGACTCTGGCTCCGGATTTTGCCTCGAGGTTTACTCCTGAAGCCTTTTCCATCAGTGGATATAACCACAAGGCAGTGGAGGTTTGAAATCGGAGTTTTCCTTCTCCTAGATGGGCTGCCCTCCAAGGCTGACAAGCCCCACCTACCCGGTTTTGATGGGTTATATAGTCCCAAATGATCCTGCCTTCCCAGACTGGAACCTACTCATCTAGTCCTTTATTTATTGATTTTCATTCTTATTAACTCATCTGCAGGCAAAGATTATCCTTCTTGGTATGCCTTCAGTGTTAATTCCTGGCTCTTCCCCACTCTAGTTTTTAAGTTATCTCTGTGTTTATTATTTGTCTGCTGCACAAACACTGTATTTTCAACTGCATTCTTTTATTTTTGCTATTTTGCTGTGTGTTTGCTGCTTTTATGTGCTACTTTGAAAGATCTCTTCAGATGGAAATGTTGCTTTGAGACATTGCCGTAAATGAAAATGCTATCTGTGATTTGCCCTGGTTACTGTGAAAGATCTAGGTTGTCTTTCATAAGTGGGAGGCCTTTAAATGTCTATTGTAGGTGATAGCATATAATGTCTAAATGATTAAAGTATATCCTACAAATCTTACAAAGTTGCATATAAGAAAAATGAATAGGATTCCTAATCATTGTACAGTGGTGCCCCGCTTGATGATGAATACGCTTCAAAGGGTTTTTTTCGCTTAACAATGGTTTTAAAACAGCTGATCGGCGGGTCGCAAAATGGCCGTCCACTGTGCAAAATGGCTCCCCGCTGTGTTTAGGATGGATTCCTCGCTTTACAGGCACCGAAAAGTGGCCACCCTATGGAGGATCTTCACTGCACAATGAGGTATTTCCCCCATTAGAACGCATTAACCGGTTTTTAATGCATTCTAATGGGTTTTTTTATTTTCGCTTGACAACGATTTCGCTCTACAGCGATTTTGCTGGAACGGTTTATCGTCATCAAGCAGGGCACCACTGTATTGATGAAAGCAGTTGATGGCACACACAGAACACTGTAAGAACTATTTTATAATAACAATTTTATAGTAAAACAATTTTAAGGCAAATCCTAATAGAAATATTCCTCTGGAGAATAGAAAATTATTCATGGAGGAAGTTAGTTTCACATGTGGTGTCAAGTCTAGTCACCCTGCCCCCCCTCACAAAAAAGTCAGATTCCCATGGACCAGGCTATATCTCCAGATAGACACTGTGTGGATGGAGGAGATCTTGACTGCAGCTAGGCTTGTGAATGTTGATAAAGGAGGATAAACAGTGCTTGATCTACTTCTTTCAATCTCTAGGTCTGGGTGGAGAGGAAAAGGCATCTTCCTTCTGGCTGCCCCTTCCCACCAGTGTCCTTTGCTTATGAAATCAGTCAAACACAAAGGGGAAGAAGAAAGGAAATGGGATGCATTTCCCCTGGACAAGACTGATTCTGCATTTCATATCTGTTCAGAGAGACACAGACTGAATATTTTATAAGAATGTTGTTCTCTGTGAGAGGTGCCTGCGATGGATGCCCCACGTCATGCCTGTCACTCATAGCTCATGCTCATTTGCATAAGCCTATGAGAGGACAGGAGGGGCGGAGGCAGAGAGTCAGTTAAATCAGTTAAGAGAGTGAGTGAGTGAGAAGAGGGAGAGAGAGGTTTGCAGAGCGAGAGAGATAGTCATAGAGTGAGAACTGTAACTAATAAAGATAAGCTGGTTAATGTTAATAAGTAAAACAGGAGGTGATTGAATGTGTGGCAGAATACAGTGGTGCCTCACTTAACGATTGCCTCACGTAACGAAGAATTCGCTTACCGATGGGTTTCTTTGAGGAATTTCCCCCATCGTTTAACGATGTTCTCTATGAGGGATTTTCACTCAACGATGTCTGTTTTCGCTCCTGTAAAAGAGTCTTAAACTGTTTGAAGCATGTTTTAAATGCTTGCAATCGTTAGCCCACCTCCTGAAACCTATGCAAACTTAATTTGGTGTTGTTCTGAGTCTTCGTTAATTTTTGATGAATTTTTTTATTCTCCTTTGAAAGCCATTGAACGGTCGGGGCACGGGGTGAACATAACAGTGCCTATGCCTGGTGATCTCATAAAGATGAGAATATGATAGAAATCAGAGAGAGAAAGAGCGCGCGCATGCATGTATTCAACTGGTTTTGCATATATATGAAGGAAATATATGCATCAAATTGTAATAGAATTATTATTGCAGTTACTAAAGTTGTAAACAAAAATGTCATACTTTTAGCCTGATTTACAAAATAAATTGCAAATAAATGTATTTTAATTTTTTTAAACTATGTTGGTAACTTGTGCTCTTTTCCAGTAATTACTACAAATCCAGATGTGCTGGTAGCACTAGGAATAGACCAGGTACGTTTATTAGACTATGAGTTACTTGTTATTTCTTAGAAATATTGAGGTATATATATATATTCATGTAAGTGGTTATGGTTGGGGAATGTATGGCACTGCAATTCCTATCAGGCTTAGCTAACATAGCAAGTGGTGAAGGATTATTGAATTTGCAATTAATAATTGTACACCAGTATTTAAACCCTGTCATAAGAAGTAACTGGTATAATTAGAGACAGTCTGCTTTTTTTAAAACCGGAAATTGACATATAATGGGCAAAATCCTGTTGGTATAGTTCAAATGGCATAAATCATATTGAGGTACAGTATAATGAATTTAAATTAAAGTGTCCTTTCCCCCCTTCTCAGCTTCCGAGGCTTCCTAGAGCTCCATTTTGCAAAGCTCCTAAATGCTTCAGGGCAAAAGGGAGCCCCAGCGAGCCTCAGAAGATGAAATAGAGGGCAAAGATAGGAAGCTTGAAATTTAAATGATTTCCCATACTCTCATCAAGTTTACACTGCACAAAGATGAACAATAGGATTTTGCCCATCACGTGGTTATAAACTATTTGTTGTTGTTTAGCCATTAAGTTGTGTCTGACTCTTCATGACCCCATGGACCAGAGCACACCAGGCCCTCCTGTCTTCCACTGGCTCCCGGAGTTGTGTCAAATTCATGTTGGTAGCTTCAGTGACTGCCCAACCGTCTCGTCCTCTGTCATCCCCTTCTCCTCTTGCCCTCACACTTTCCCAACATCAGGGTCTTTTCCAGGGAGTCTTCTCATGAGATGACTAATGTATTGAAGCCTCAACTTCAGGATCTGTCCTTCCAGTGAGCACTCAGGGTTGATTTCCTTTAGGATGGATAGGTTTGCTCTCATTGCAGTCCAGAGGACTCTCAAGAGTCTCCTCCAGCACCACAACTCAAAAGCATCAATTCTTCAGTGGTCGGCCTTCTTTATGGTCCAGCTCTCACTTCCGTACAGTGGGGTCTTGACTTGCAAACGGCCCGAGGTACAAACTTTTTGAGTTACGTACTTCTCCGTCCGCAAAAATCCATTTTGACTTGCGAACGGAGAATTGAGGTACGTACCAAAAAGTTTTTTTAAAAAGCGGGAAAGCACCTGGAGCCGGGTGGTGGCGACGCGGTGAGAGGCGGCGGCGCTGCTCAAACCCAACCCACTCCCTTCCCCAAAAGTGGCTTAGCTTTGTGTTTAGTCGTTTAGTCGTGTCCGCCTCTTCGTGACCCCATGGACCAGAGCACGCCAGGCCCTCCTGTCTTCTACTGCCTCCCGTAGTTGTGTCAGGTTCATGTTGGTTGCTTCGCAGACACTGTCCAGCCATCTCATCCTCGGTCGTCCCCTTCTCCTCTTGCCATCACACTTTCCCAACATCAGGGTCTTTTCCAGGGAGTCTTTTCTTCTCATTAGATGGCCAAAGTACTGGAGCCTCAGCTTCAGGATCTGTCCTTCCAGTGAGCACTCAGGGTTGATTTCCTTTAGAACTGATAGGTTTGTTCTCCTTGCAGTCCAGGGGATTCTCAAGAGCCTCCTCCAGCACCACAATTCAAAGGCATCAATTCTTCTGCGGTCTGCTTTCTTTATGGTCCAGCTCTCACTTCAATACATCACGACAGGGAACACCATAGCTTTGACTATTCGGACTTTTGTTGGCAAGGTGATGTCTCTGCTTTTCAATATGCTGTCCAGATTTGTCATCGCTTTCCTCCCAAGAAGAAGGCGTCTTTTAATTTCAGGGCTGCTGTCTCCATCTGCAGTGATCATTGAGCCCAGGAAGATAAAATTTGACACTGCCTCCATATCTTCCCCTTCTATTTCCCAGGAGGTGATGGGACCAGTGGCCATGATCTTAGTTTTTTTGATGTTGAGTTTCAGACCGTTTTTTGCACTCTCCTCTTTCACCCTCATTACAAGGTTCTTTAATTCCTCCTCACTTTCTGCCATCAGAGTGGTATCATCTGCATATCGGAGGTTGTTGATATTTCTTCCTGCAATCTTAATTCCAGCTTGGGTTTCCTCCAGTCCAGCCTTTTGCATGATGTATTCTGCATATAAGTTAAATAAGGAGGGGGACAATATACAGCCTTGTCGTACTTCTTTCCCATTTTTGAACCAATCAGTTGTTCCATATCCAGTTCTAACTGTTGCTTCCTGTCCCACAAATTGTTTTCTCAGGTTATAGATAAGGTGGTCAGTGTAAGAAGGTTTGTTCTTTCCTTGTGGCTGTTCCTCTTCTTGAACTATGAAAGATGAGTTGTTATTTTGAATAAAAGAACTTTTATTAACAGAACCTATTGCTTCAACTTTATTCAACTCGTTAGAACAGCAAACAGATAACTGAGGGGAAGAATAACAAGATTTTTCTTGGTTAATGTCCTTTAGTAACAAATTCTGCTCAATTTCTCTTTGTCGGTCGGTTCTCTCAGTTGTTGCTTGCGCCCGGTACATATGGTTCCGCAACAAGGGTGGCGAGCCCATTGCCCCTCTGTAGTCAATGAAGCAGAAGTAGATGTTTTTCTAGAACTCTCTGGCTTTTTCCATAACCCAATGCATGTTAGCAATTTGGTCTCCAGTTCCTCTGCCCCTTCAAAATCCAGCTTGTACTTCTGGGAGTTCTCAGTCCACATGCTGCTGAAGCCTACCTTGGAGGATTTTGAGCATAACATTACTAGTGTGTGAAATGAGTGCAGTTGTACGGTATAAAGCATTTAGGGTAGAATAACTGGAATTTAATTACATTTAGATTACATTTAGATCAGCCTCCCCCCTCCTGCCTTCCTGGTGCCCTCCAAATGTGTTGCACTATAACTGTCATCTTGATCCAGCATGGCTGAGCATCTTGATAGTTGCAGTCCAACACTTCTAGAGGGCAGTAAGTTGGATAAAGCTCCTATAAAAAGCATTTTTAAAAAGCTAAAAAGGTGGATCCAAACTGTTTTCCACTTACAAAAGGGCTGTCAACTGTACACACTGGAGAGGGGCATAAGAACAATGAGACTGAATTCAAATATCATCAATATGTAAAACAGCTTTCACAAGATAACACATTAAAGCAGCTGTCAAACTGAGCTATTTTAACAGTGATCAGTTTTTTTCCACTTTGAAAATATTTGCAGAAATGAATTATCCACTATTTCTATCCCACTCTTGAAATGTTTTGCTCCAACCCCTTTGTGAGAGAGAGTCAGAGCGAGAAGGAGAGAGTGAGCCGTCCCCTTAGCCGTCTGAGGGGAATCAAGTGGAAAGAAAGAAAGGTACGAGAGATGAAATCAAAGAAGTCAATGTGGAAAGGGAGATAGGGAATGAAGAAGAGTCAGGAGTGCAAGCTGAGGGAGAAGAGGGAAAGCATGCGGAAAAAGTGGAAGCAGAGAGAGAGAGGCGCGAGACGTTAGGAGCATTAGAGTTAACGGATGCGAGAGGAGAGCAGTCAACAAGAAGGAAAATAAAAGACTTCCTGACTACCGAAGTTAATGACAAAGCAACCGAAACTGAGAAAGTGACAGTATATGAAGAGAGTTTGACTGAGAAAAGGGTTGAGGATCAAAAAGTGTTTGCTGTACCGAGAAAACGATTAGAAGGAGTCAGAGAAAACAATGAAGATAGGTCTCATGACAGGGAAAGAATCAAACCTATCATCGAAGGTTTGATGCCTGAAGAATGGATGGTGCTAGTATATCCCAAGGGTGCGGGACCAGTGAAGTACGTCCATCATCCCTGATCTTTAGCTCTGGGCAAGAAACCTCCTGGGGGAGAATGGTCCCGTCACCCATGCTGCGGGACCATTGTTGCAGTGCGCAGTGTCTGAGAGATCCAACCAACCAATAGAGGTTTTCAAAACCTTATCAATGAAAGAAGAAAGTAATGAGAAACCTTTAATGTTGTTTTGGGATAGTTCCCCCCCCCTCAGTTGTCATTAAATGAAACTGTTGAATTAAATAAAGAAGAAACTAATGGTTATATTAATAAAAGTTGTTTTATTTGATACTCCTATGTTGTCATTTCAATTGCCAGAGGAACTGCCTAAAATTATAGATGAACCTCATTACACTCTTTGTTCTAGTATAACTGGTTTCTCAGTTTTCAGTGTCCTTACTGTGAGGGGAGGGTTAAATTCAAGATAATCTGATGGTCAATTTCTTATGCTATGGACACCAGTATGCTTTTGTCATTAGTGTTGATGAAGCTGTGGATTTATTTAAAGTCAGGCCTTTACAGCTTATAATGTTTTAGTATCAACATGAACACAAGGTTTTCAGGCATGACAACATTCCTGCCCTTAGTAGGCAGCAAAAACTGTAGTCTTATCAAGGCCCTGTTGCCTACCATAAGTGACTAATGGATGTTATTTAGCTTGGTGGAGTTTAAACTGAAAGATATTATAAATCAGGTAACAGTCTGTAACCGCCGCTCCTCCCCAAAGATTCTATAGCATGCCACTCTTGAACTCTTCCAGTCTGGGGGCTACAAAGCAAACTTAGAATGTGTTTGCGGTAGGATTTCATCATAGTGGTTAGAGAACTGCAGTGCAACATTACCCAGAAAGCTTCTTGTAATCCCTCTGTTAAAATAAGTGATTATACTATGACTAACAAATGAAACACATTTAGATTATAACTTTTTTAGTTTAAAATAATTTCTTTGCCTTGCTTTCCCTGATATTGATACTATCCAACATTTTGCTTTTTGCTAGAAAGGTTATGGGAGTAGAACCACTGATGCATATTTTGTTACAACAAAAATAATGTAGTAGTCCAATATCTTTGTCTTGACAAAATGTCATGTCTGTTGTATTGCCGTGGGTTTAACATTCTGCTTTGTGGACAGTTTAGCAGAAAATCTCAAATTCTTGTAATGTCTGTGTGTGAAAGTGCCTTCTCAAGAGTAAACATGTGTTTAAGTTGTTTTTATTCTTAAGATGACATATAATGGAAATCATAAAACTGAAAAAATGATATAAAACACAATGTTCTTAATTAATATTTATGAGCAATCTAAGATACAAGCTGAAATCCCATGGTATGGTTATGCAGATAGCCCAGTCACATGACTTGGTATGCAACAGATAATGTCTACAGAGATTTCTCAGTTCATTACAATTCATGTGTAAAAGGTACACCACTGCATCGCTGTACAGTACGATTACAGCCACAGTGTTGAAACAAACATCAAGTAAAGAATGATTCTGTTAGGTCTTAATCAGTCCAAGGAGTTAAGGTCATGCTATGAGACTTTTATGCTGCTTTTCAGATGTAAAAATTTCCCAAAGCAGCTCCTGCTTCTAAGAAATCATGGAGGTTACTTTTCATAGGGTTGCCATAAGTTGGAGGCAAGTTGATGGCCCATAACAACAACAATAACTCAGAGTAACAGGCTTAACATCACTTCTTTGGTATGTGTATGCTGTAAAACAAGGGTCCCCAACCTCCAGTCCGTGGCCCAGTGCCAGTCCATGGGCTTCCTTGAACTGGGCTGCAGACACAGATCTCAGCTCCTGACAGGCATGTCATGCTCTTGGGGGGTGTCGTGCTCGTGCACATGAGTGTGACACGCCCCCGGGAACGTGACATGCCCACCCACGAGCATGGGAGTGCTCCTGGCCCCCCACGCACGGAGCCCACACCCCCCAACCGGTCCACGGTCCTGAAAAGGTTGGGGACCACTGCTGTAAAAGATTACTTGCTTTGAAGCAGCAAACATTTCAGTGTGCTGATTTGTTTTCTGTCTACACATGTTTAGAAAACATGGATTGCTGTCTAGTTTCAACATTCACTTTTAAGCCTTCTATGACAGATTCTAACAGCAGTGTAACAAGGAATTACAGATCTATTTTACAAAAATTGTTTTCTTTATAGTTGCAGAAATTAGACCATGAACTTGAAATGGTGCTTTCGACACTTCATGCCAAGAATAAAAAACTGAAGCAAGACTTAGCAAGGTATATATATATATTTATTTATTTGATTTATACCCCGCCCATCTGGTCTAATATATAGTCTGCTGTATCCAGTGTTTAAGCCTTTTAGTAGTTCTCTAAAATATGAATTAGCTGTTTTGTGTATTATTTTCTTCACATCTATGTCCCAAGGGAACAGAAGTGGTTGGAGGAACAGCAGCAGTTAATAGACTGTCTCAACCAAACCGAAGAAGAAATAAACAATCAAGTTGGACACTTTTCACAGAAGAGGTGTGTGTGTATATATATACCCTGTTTTCCTGAAAATAAGACCTAACCTGAAAATAAGCCCTAATATGATTTTTCAGGATGCTCGTAATATAAGCCCTACCCCCAAAATAAGCCCCAGTTAAGTGAAGCCTCCCCTCCACCATAGTGCAGCAACCAGAAGAAGATGACATGACTGTATTTGAATAAATGTAGATGGTTGTACATGAAAACTTTTTAAAAATCCTCTGAAAATAAGCCCTAAAGAGTTTTTTGGAGCAAAAAGTAATATAAGACCATGGTTTGAGGATGCCTGGTGGGCTGCAAACCCCCTTATTAAAAAAAACACCACATGATGATAGTTAAACTTCATATTTTTATATCTTAGAGCCTTTAAGGAATTGAAAAATAAGATGCTGAAAATAAAAGCCTATAAAGACGAGACCCTGAATGCCCTGGGCGAATTCCTTGAAGAACATTTTCCTCTCCCTGAGAATGGTGGAACAGCGAAAAAGAAGAGAGTACGGTCATTTTGCATTTTCACATTAAGAAATAATTTACAGTCAATGACGATAATTAGATGCATACATGAAAATGCTAAAACACACTCAAATAACAATTCAAATAGCATCTCTTTCATTCATTTTGGATACCCTCCAGCCAGTAGTTGTCCCACCGACTGTTTCTAACCATATGTACACTGTTCCTGAACGCAGCTTCCTTTTCTGAGCCTCCTTGAGCCCATATTAAAATTGTCTTTACCTCTGCCACAGTTTCTAGCTTCCTGAATTTCAGCTCCCTCTGTCTCTACCTCTTGAGCTACCAGTTCCACTACTCCATAAAACTTGCAAGTCCTGGAAATGTGGCTGTGCTCATTCTTCTTGCTGCAGCTTCAGGAAGTCACATCAAGTAGCCCCTTCAAACTCATGAATTCCCTACCTAATCAAGATTCAAATTTCAGAGATGTTCATGACTCACTAGCCATAGCTTTGCATATCTGTGAGAAATCTTTTGCACATTTGGTTTTTATAGTATCTTGACATAATTTGACAAAATTATTGTTGGACAAAATAAATATTCACGGTTAAACTGCAGTCAGGACTCTGCTTACTACCTGAGTTTGATTCCGATGGGCACAGAGAGCTGGCTCAAGGTTGACTCAGTCTTCCATCTTTCTGAGGTCAGTAAACTGGTTACCCAACTTGCTGGGAGGGCAGTGTGTAGCCTACATAATTAAATTGTAAGCTACCCAGAAAGTGCTTGAAGTGCTATGGGGCAATATTCAAGCAGCACGCTTTGCTTTTAAATACTGAAAATCCATCTCTTTCTCTTACTCATGTTTATTTGCTTTTCTAACAAGTATAGGCTAGAATGCTGTTGGGGATTTACACCCACATAATTGTGTAAATCACCATAGCAAATTGCCACTAAGTAGTTCACTTTTACATTCCTTATTACTTGCCAATTGCACAACAGGGTATCTAACATCAAATGTGAGCAGTCATATTTAGTAGGAGTTCACTGCTGTGATTTATGCAATTAAATTTATACCAGTGTAAATCACCTAGGATATGCTGATGATAATCTTCCTTAAGAAAGTATAGTTTGCATAACCATGAGCATGAAGATTTATATTTTCTTTGAATTTTAAGTTATATAACAAACTCAGCTAAGTGCAAGGTTGATTTAGAGTCAACAAAGATTATTTGATAATTGGTAGAAAAGGTATCTAAGGATGTGCTTCCCCCCCCATTAACTTTGTCCAGAGTGCCCATATGTTTTCAAATTATTGTCTATGTCCATTATGGCTAAAACATGCTATTTATAAATTCAGATCAGAGAACAACATCTGCTCCAGAATGACTTTATATGCTGAAATTTAAGTGAGTTATATACACTCTTGATTGGAATAGTGCTGTTTTACAGTGTTATATTGTAATGCCCAGATTTATCGCAGTCTCTATACATTAGCAAACATCTGCATGTTTATAACTTTTGGGCTCACTGTGACTGTAGATGAGAGGCTTGTTTGGCTGAGGATACTATCTGTTTTCACCATTTCTCAATATGGACTCCCAGCCACATTCATGATTTAGAAGTACACAGAACTGTAGAATTGAGTTAAAAGGGGCTATGACCATTGAGTCCAACCCCCTGCTTAATGTAAATTCACATCAAAGCAGATCTGGCAGGTACTTATCCAATTTTCTCTTGAATGCCTCTAGCTTTGGATCGCTTACCACCTCCTGAGGTAACTGGTTCCATTGTCATACTGATCTAACAGTTAAGACGTTTTTCCTGATATTCAACCAAAAGCTGGCTTCCTGTAGCTTGAGCCATTATTATGTGTCCTGATGATCAAGAACAGATCCTGCCCCTGCTCTTTATGAGTACCTTTCAAGTTTTGGAAGAGCCCTGTCTTATGTCCCCTCAGTCTTCTTTTCTCAAGGCTAAACATGCCCAGTTCTTTCAGTCTTTCTTCACAGGGCTTGGTTTCCAGTCACCTGACTATCCTTGTTGTCTTCCTTGTTCCAGTTTGTTGGCATCCTTAAAGTGTGGTGTCCAGAACAGGACACAGTAGTCTAGATGAGGCCTAACCAGTGCCAAATAGAGGGGGGCTAGTACCCCACAGGATTTGGAGACTACTTTTAATGCATCCTGAAATAGCAATTCCCTTTTTTGCAACCACACCACACTATTGGCTCATATTGTGATCCACAACAATTCCAAGATCCTTCTTACTCATAATATTACTAAGCTAAGTATCCCCCATCTTATAACAGTGCATTTAGTGTGTGTTTTTACCACTCGGTGTAGAACTTTGCAGTTATTCCTGTTAAATTTCATGATGTTTTCAGCCAAGCGCTCAAGCCTATCATTTTCCCATCCCCACTGAGTAGCTGAGCTCGTTTCTTTTTTTGTGTCATTTGTTACACATGTACCTGAAGAATGCTTTTTTTTTTTTTTTGGCTTTTAGCTTCCCTTGCTAACCTCACCTCATTCTCAGCTTTTGCCTTTCTAATATCATCTCTGCAATTCTTTGCTACTTATCTGTACTCTTCCTTTGTAGCCTCCTCTTCCTTCCACTTCCTATGTGTCCTTTTTTGTTTTCAGGTCTTTTCTGAACTTTTTGTGAAGTCACACTGGTCGTTTTACTGTCTTCCACCTTTTTATTTTCTTGTTTGGATTGTATGTAGTTGTGCATTTAGAATTCCCTGTTTTGAAACATCTTAGACTCCTTTTCCTGTTAGGTCAGGTCCCGTGGCAGGAAATCCTATCATTGTTCTGAGTTTATTAAATTCACACCTTGATCATGCATGATTAGAAAAATAAATTCTAAATGTGAATGTGTTTTAGTGACTGTGCATGTCTTAAGTTTGAAATTAAACATACCTCTCTTTTTCTCCCTGTAGCGTTCATCAGAAGAGCTGGATGTACAGCTAATAACACTACATGAAATTTTAGAGGTAAAACTTTTTTTTGTCATCATGTTTCCTTCAGTAGGGAGTAGGGAGGGGTAGGGAGACAAGATATGCCAAGGATTAGTAAATTGTTTGTAGTGATGCATCCCAAATGGTATACAAGAAGCAAGTTTTTGTTCCTGTGTATCATTTCCTTCACAAGTGCACTGTGGATGGGAAAGACAAAAAACTGTCTGGGGACATCATACTTAAGTGCTGCCTTTAACAGCTATGATGCTGATGGGCACCAACAAAGTATAGAACTGCTAACACAATGACATGGGATTTCCAGCCGGGCATATACTACCTATGTGCAAGTAGAGATCCCTCACATGATGTCAGAACACAACCTGCTTGCACTTCCACAAAGAGATACTGAATACATCCCTTAGGAAGATCCATAAGCATTTTGCTTTGTTCATTTTTACAAGCTTTTTCAACAGGATCCCAACAAATAAATTTGGCTAATCCTGTGAATAAACAGGATCCAAATATGAAGCAGAGATGTGTGTATTTCTTTCTCTCTCTCCCTCTCCTGACAGTCATAACTCTTCATATGTCTGCTTACTTAATGCTGAGTCCAAGAAGATGGACTGCCAGATCTCAAATAATTGTGCCTAGTACTGCAACCAAAATCTAGGAGTAAGAATATCTGTGCCAGTGTCACTCTGTAGTGGTTGCAAATGCATGTTTCTCTATATATTATTGGATTTAAGTTTCCATGAGCCCTAACTGGCATGCATAATAGTGAAAAATAGTCTTTCATAGCCAGTGGCAGCCAAAGATACAAAGGGTGTGAGAGTGAACAACAATAGGACATGATGACATCAAGAGATGACATAAGATAAAGTACACATGACATGGGGGAAAGGTAAGTCTGAATTTGGCTTTTGGTGGATTCTCTTCTTTCTGCCGTAATAGGCACCACTAGAACAGCACTCCAGAGCTAGAACACTCTCTGAATCAGAATTTTAGCATCATAGAAAGCTGAGATTGGAGGAAGAAGAAAAGAAGCATCCCAGTTCTGCTGGCATTGGATAAGGAAGTGCCTAAAAGTTTTCAAAACAGCCTGAAATTTCTTATAATGTGTGGATTTATTTTAACTCTCAAGGCTGTTGAATTATCTGGATGGGTTTAAGAAGTGAACATGACCTTGTAAGGTGTGGATATTAAATGCATATCCAGCAGTGTGGATTTAAATTCAGTGAATAAAGTTATACTTGATGGCATGAGAACTTCTAAATCTAGAGTGCTGAATGATTTGTTTAATCTTCATTAAATTTATAGCTTGCTTTCCCACTAAAACTATTTTTTATTTGGTATCAATGAACTTTGTAGTATATATGGGGCCTGTATTAAAATCAGTTTTTCTTTTCCATTAAACTGAATGTCTGGAATTTTGTTCTCAATTCACTTAAAATATAAAACTGAACTCAGTTTTCATTTTGTTTGAAGTCATGTAGAAGAGAATTATTTCAACATTATTTCTAATTTGTGTAATACTCTGGTACATTTACACCAATTTTACATTGATTCTGACCGATTACATCTCTTTCTCTTCTTATTTTCAGAGCCTTATACACAAACTTGTGAAAACACCACATGATCCATATATAGCAACCACTGCTGCATTTTGGCCTCCTTATGTTGAACTTCTGCTGCGTTATGGGATAGCATTAAGACATCCAGAAGAGCCAAACCAAATACGTCTAGAAAACTTTCACCAATAGCAAGATGTATTGAGACTAAATCCCCATCTGATTAGTAAAATAAATGTTAACAAGGAAACATATAAATGTTCTCAGCTGCCTGAGGTGATCATATTAATTACTGATGTTCCAAAGTTTTCATACAGGTTTTATAACTTTTCTGTAAATTAGGTGATAGAACACTGGCTTTTAGTTTGAAATTGTGATAGTTTCTTCTAATGTTATTTTTACTACAATTGTAAATAATGTTTGTATTCTGAAAACTACTCAGACTGTTAAAATAGCAAATCAGTTTAGATTAAAGGACTCTTTTAGGCCAATGATTTGTTTGGCTGTAACTTTCCAATCAGGTGTGTGAGTATGGCATCAGTTTAAAAAGAAACATTTTTAGCTTCCTGGGACTATCTGGTGAGAAAGGAAGCACAGAATGTTGTCTTTAAAGTCAGGGGGAACATGTGTAATCAGTGAGGGACAATAAGAGAAATCTCATCAGAGACCTACCCTTAGAATATTTTAAGTGTATACATTACATGCCTCCCTTGTTGTTTCCTGACTCCCCAGTTCCAAAACCATCCAGTGGTAACCATTATGAAAATATCATTGGAAGCAGATCACATTCAGTGCCATGTCACTGACAGAATTGTGGCAGATACTTCTAAACTAATTATGTAGAAACAAGGAAGTATAAAAAGATAACAGAATTGTAGATCTTTCCCCAGCTTCAGCCACTTCCAGATTCTCCAGTAAATAACATCTCACATTTGCAGATGAACATTTGCTTATTATTACTTAAAATAATTTCTCAAACTAATTGAACAGAAATAATCAATGGAGAAGTCCAGATGGAGTCAAGCCCCTTGCTTGACCATCAAGCCTCAGAGCACACGAAGGCAAACCATTCTCTCCTTTCACTGCTGTCCCCAGGCGATCTCTATATCACCATTACTTCAGAAAGATTCAGGTCCACGCTTCAAGTTCTTTTAAATAAAACTTTAGTTTATTGATTACAGAGATTGATTCATAAATATCTTAAGTAGCATCACACTTCAGAATTTCCCAAACTACACACTCTATAAGTCTGTCTGACTTTTCTCACTTGCCTGACTGCCTCAGAATTTCCCAAACTACACACTCCATAACTCTGTCTGACTTTTCTCGCCTGCCTGACTCTTCCTACATTTCTCTTTCGCCCTTGACTGACTCAGGCGCCACCTCTTACATTTCTCTTTCGCCCTTGACTGACTCAGGCTCCGTCTCTCAGCAACATCTCTCGGCTCCGCCTCTCAGCAACATTAATATGCATGAACCATTTCCATTACATAACAAACATGAATCATTACATAATATAACATGAACCATAGACCTAATAGATAGAGAATGCTACAGGGAAGTCCAGATGGAGTCTTTAATAGACTGCATTATGCTTCCAGCTGTTTCTTTTTTTTCCAAATTTTTTATTTTTTAACAAAAGGGGTGACAGAAAGGAAAAGGGGAATTGGAATTGATGGGGGAGAAGAGAAGCAATAACACTAACATCCATTCTAAACCTATTGCCATATCAAAATTTCAAATAATTCTATTTATTCTTTTCTGCCTTCTAGGTTTAGGTTCTCATTTTAATATATGGTATTCATACGCTGCCTGTTAATTCAGTCCGCTTGTTGAATAGATCCCATCTTTCTGTTGCCTTTTATATAGGACAGTCCTTCATCACTTCTGATAAAATGTCCATTTCCGCTATTTCCTGTATCTTTTCAATAAGATCTTCTTGTTTCGGTACCGTCGGACTTTTCCAATTTTTGGCATGTAAAATTCTGGCTGCAGGAACAATATATATAACTATAATCCTTTGACTTGTCTATGTTGTCAGGTATCATACTCAATAAAAACAGTTCTGGAGTTTGTTCACAGAGCAATATTTGTTGTAGCATAGCATGTACTCTTTTCCAGTATTGTTTCGCTATTCTACATGACCACCACATATGATAAAAACTTCCCACTTGTGCTTCACATTTCCAACACTCATTTGATACATCTGTGTATATCTTTGACAATTTTC